GACTGAAGGGGAATACCGTCAGACCCAGTTGCGTTTCGGCAATTGAGTGTGTCGCCTCCAGGTTCCTGAAGTTTTAAAAGGCACATTATAGGAATCTTTTTGGGAGAAGAAAGTCTAAGGCGCTAACTCTCTGGCAGACTTTGAGGAAAGAAACGAGTGCATAGTGGAGCCCCTGAAAAAACATGGCCCGATGATTACCAATTTCAATGGCAACGTCAAAGGGTTTGCTTATCAATACCGGAAAACCCGCATAACAGAAGCGGGTCCAGAGAGTATTTAGCACTCAGTTTCCGTACTTCTTTCCGGGACTGCGCTCAAAGGGAAAGCAGAGGATAGTGGAAACAATCTCGCCAGCAAGTGCGTTTAGCGTCACAAGTGACATGGTGAGCGACCACTCGTTTCTGCTTAAAATCAAGAAGTTTTTCTGTGGTTCTATTGTACTGGTACCTGCCCAATGCAGCGCTTTTCAAAGGTACTGCCCGAGCACAAGTAGGAGCCCACCAAGGCACGCACTTCTGAGAATCCCTGCCCTAGGTTTGGGGTTATAGAATGAGAACCTGCGGCTGAAATTGAGGTCGAGAAGAGTGAAAAAAGCTCATAAATTTGGAGGACGAAGAAGGAACCTCCGAAAAGCAATTAGTTGCGAGTAAAGGCCCCAATTTGCTTGATCAAATTGCCAGCATGGGCTACGAAGAGGTGGGGGAATATGAAGGAGAAAGTAGGAATGACTAAAAAATTGATCGCTGTCTTGTAAGTCCGGGAGAAACGACCGGGGAAAGTCTAGTGCAGTGGAAGAAGAGCAGATTGAGAGGATCGATGCAAGAGGGGAGAATGAGTACCAGGATCAAAATGGGGGGGATTTACCCGTATTTAAAAACATGGATTTGGCGAGAAGCGAGAAAACCCTCCAACCTTAATGCCACAGGAGTCACAGTGAGAGTCCCCCTAGAGGAAATGATGGGTATTAAAATCGCCAAGTAACAGAAGTGGTGGCGGTAAGGACGAACAAGAAAAGGGAACATCTAGGATAGATAATGCCTGAGGAGATACAAAGAACAGTTTCTATACCACTTATGCAAGTGGATACGGGCTGCAGTGTAATGCAGGGAAGTATGAGGGAATTTGCTGATGGGGAACAGAATATTAGTGTGTAGAAGAAGAGCACTTTCATCAGAAAAAGCATCCGAGGAATACAATAAATTTTGGGTCTTGTAAGCAAACACCAACAGGGAAAAACCGGGAGAGCAACATCTGAAGCTCACCCCGATTACCCCTGAGGCCGCGGATATTCCACTGTAAATAGGTCATAATTGGCAACCAGAAAGATACCAGAAATCTGCAGGAAAGGGTACCTTCGGACTAGAGGGGTTAGAAAAGTGCACATGTGGTGGCAGCAGAAAACGTTCAAGTAGCGAAGGGATGGAGCACTGCAAAGATGGAGGAGAGGGAAGAGAAGGAACAGAAGGTGAATCAGTGTCCATTGATGGTTTAGTCTCATCAATATAGTCTAAGATAGCTTCAAGTGTTTTGAAATTCAAAGACGTTGTATGGGAGACAATATTGGAGATGGAAGGAGGAGGGCAAGTGAAGATTGGGACAGTAATGGACTGTACCAAAGTAGGGGGAG